TGGTTAGTTTCGAGCCATTCGGAGGTCGGAACGTGCGGGGTGGCATTTTTGGAGCATCGTTTGGCTTGCTCGGTATTAGAATTGGCTTGTTCAAGGCAACTAACTCTTCTAAACTTAGTGTTGAGGGTATGAAACCCGAATTACGTGCTATGTGATTGATGATGAGGTGATGCACATGCTAGGTGACGGGCGTGTGGGCGTGCACCCTATGAATTGTGACTCTGTTGTTTTCATGGAATTGTTTAGTGGCCATATTTTGTTGATATCACACTAGTTTCAAGCATCTTTGTTGGTTTTCTGGGATGTCTTAACGTCATTTCTGCTGCTATTCTTGCTCATTCTACGACTGTATTTTTACAATTCTACGATTCGGGTATTTTTTTTACTTTGTATTGCAGATACTTTCAGAAGTAATAAAGATTTGAATTTAGTTTGGATTGTTGGAGCAAGAATATGTTCAATTTTGTCTAAGAATAAATATTAGGATTGTGATTAAGCCTAGAAACGTGGTAGAAGTCAGTTCTTTTACATGGGTAGTTGAAATAATTTTTTTGTATGTTAATGGAGGTTAGTTTTGAATGCTTTATGTTTAAAATATTGAAAATTGATTAGTGCTGGATTTTTGGCCTGCCACTCTGATTTAGATCTTAATTAAGATAAAAGTGGCAGTTTAATAAAGTGGTTGTTTATGCAATCATAACTTGGTAGAAATGGCTATAGTAAAATTAGTTGGGTCAATAATCTGGCCTTCAGGTGGCTGTCTATGCAAACCCCAATTTCAAAGTATCCTGGGCCAAAACCTAATTTTTTGTAGGCCAAACTACAATAAGTTAAGTGTTGGCCCAATGTTAAAGTTGTCCAAAATGGGCCAGCACTGTAAATGCACCAAAATTGGCCCAGCAACCCCAATAACAAAGAAAGTGGCCCAGTGCCATTTTAAACCCAATAAACAAAGCTGGTTCAAATTATCAATTATCAGCTTTTCAAATAACTTTCAATTTGTCATATTTTCTTCTAAACAATGTAGCTTAATTATCTATGTAACTTAATAACCTTAGTAATTAATTTAAATTCTAGGCAATTAGTAGGTGCGTTTTAACCTTTTTACTCACAGATTCGCTTGCGTATTGTGATATTGAATATTCATTAAATAAATTCAATAATCATATACCGAATCTAATAACTTTAATTAATTTCTAATTTAATCAATCCTTGGCTAACCGCATATTCGTTTGTGTAATATGATAGTAATTTTGTATTAATTTTAAAACTTAATTTTCTCAAAGCACAATTCCAGTAACGTTTTTTCCAAAACAATAATAATAATATTAACGTGCTAATAATCCTTTGTCATGACTGCGGATTCGCTTGCATAGCACTATTATGACAAAATTAATTAATTCGTCTTGATCATGCATTCGCTTGCGCAGTGTCGTTATGACATCTTATCATTCAAAAATTCTTCAGTTTTTTCAATAATCAAGCAATAAAAGCGGATAAGTAAAACATGAAAATCTTATAAATCATAGTTTGTCAAAAATTAATTCAGACCAAGTTTAAGTCAATAAAGCGACCGTGCTAGAACCACAGGGCTCGGGGAATGCCTTACACCTTCTCCCCGGTGAATAAAATTCCTTACCCGAACGTTGGTTTCGCAGACCGATAAAATAGAGTCAAACCTTCCTCTGACTAGGAATTCAAATAAAAGGTGACTTGGAACACCAGAAAAAAAAAATCAATTTCAAGTGGCGACTCTTTAAATAAAATAATCCCTACTCAAGTTTGTCACTTTAATTGAAAAAACTCTTTAACCTGTAATCCATAAAACACATATCTTTTCGGGGTAAAAGGGGCGGTGACACATATGCCACAAGAGACGTACCATAGGCTTTCCCGTAGTGTAATACTCTAATAATTGAGCTCATTCAGTCAAAGATCAAGAAGGACATTATTTGGTTCTAATGTAGGCTGCGGGATGGGTAGGATACATTTAGATATAATGCCTACACCTCCCTAAGAACTTTAATACATATAAATTAATAATTTAAATCCCACACCTATGTTGAACCAAACCCCAACCTTCATTCATAATAGCACCAAGCTCCCAATTTCTTTAAGCACAGACAAAGCAAGATTTACCACTAGCAAGGAATAATTTTTTTTATAATATATACACACCAATATGTTTTTTTCTTTTTCTAGATTCTGATTTTGTCTTCTTATTTTCTCAATTCCCTACAAGTGGCTCTCACAATATTTTTTTTTCAAATAGTGCACCTTTTTCCTTCTCTATAGTTCCACTCAAAACCCCAACCATACATCCACTTAGATTTTAACAAGCTCATAAATATATTAAGTGCTCAAGAGAGATAAAAAGTTCAAACATATAGTTAATTCAAACAAAGTGGATCAGGCTTGCAGTGTGGTTGCCAAAGAAATAGGATCACGAGCTCAACGGGGTTAACTAGGATACACAACAATTAGGCGGGTCACAGACATATAATTGTCTCAACAAAGAAATGTCTATATCACTTCCTAGACTGAACAAGACTACTATTTCGCCTTTGCAAACATATGGGGCAACTTCTAGACATCACTGAAATGCACAAAATTTCAACAAAAACCTCACTCATACATTAGCACATAACTCACTTAGGATCGGATCTATCCCGACTCTCTAGTCAAAACAGTTAAGCAAAGTTACAATCATACAATTTAAGGTGCTTATTTAGGAGTCAAGAACTAAGCCTAGGCGTCACAAATAAGGCACTCTTTTCTCAAGACACAACAAAGTCAAGGAAAGTCATCTTCATTCAATACATAGCACAAGACTACACTACTCCTAATAAAAGAAAGAATAACTATACCCAGTTCAAGCAAAATTCTTGAAAAAGAAATACGGCATAAAGATAAACCAAGGGAGAATTATTACACTACCTACGGAAAAAAATAAAACAAACCAAAAAAAAATCTTTTTGTTCTTTTTTCTTCGACTTTAATCTCTCAAGAAACCCGTCGATGATATCCTTCATCGGAAAAAATCGAAAACTTAAAAAAACAATTCAACTTTTCTATCTCTAACTCTTACAACTAACAAAAAGGAAAACTAATATACACACATACATATATACATACATACAATCATACATATAAATATCCCCCACCCCATACTTTAAGTTGTGGCATGTCCCCATGGCACCTTATAAAAAAATATAAGGTAAAAGAAACTTTCCTGATCATCTAGTCGGGTCTAAGTCGAAGTCGGACTCCATTCCTCGCGCCCGAACTAATGCACACATCCATGTGGATAACTTCTTCTCGGCCTTTTTTGGGTACACCCCACACTTATCTTTCTCGCTCACCGCAACCTTCTCTTTTGATCCCTTTAACTTCCACTCAACACTCACAGCTGGTTTGTCTTTTTGTGCCCCCTTTGCAATATCCATCTTAAAAGTCACAGTTTCCTCACCAACTCTAAGCATGAGTTTTCTTTCGTGTATATCTAATATAGCTCTACCCTTTGCTAAGAATGGTCTTCCTAGGATGAGAGGGACTTCCTTAGTTTCTTCCGTATTTACCACTATAAAATACGCAAAAAATATAAACTTATCCACCCGAACTAATACATCTTCCGCTATCCCCTCGGGTGTTATAGTCATTTGGTCTACCAGCTGCAAAGATATGGGTGCAAACCTTATCTCTCCAATCTCCTTCTACAGTTTTCTATAGATAGATAGAGGCATTAAATTAATTGAAGCACCTGAATCACATAATGATTTATCAAAATTAATAGTTCCTAAAGAGCAAGGTATAGTAAAACTTCCTAGATCTCCGCATTTTTATGGGAGATTATTTTGCAATATCGCATTGCAATGCTCTGTGAGCTTGACCACTGAGGTCTCCCCTATTTTCCTCTTCTTCGTAAGGATCTATTTCAAGAATTTAGCATAAGCAGGCATCTGTGAGAGCACTTCCGTGAATGGTAAGTTTACATGAACCTATTTCAGCACATCCAGAAATCTCTCAAATTACTTGTCCAGCTTTTCTCTACTTAGCTTTTGGGGAAAAGGTAGAGCATGCATATGCTTGCTCTCCTAAGGTTCCTCCCTTCTCGAGTTTACTCCCTTCTTCTTTTTCTTAGCTTCCATGTAGCATTTCTTCTTCTTATCAATATCACTTTTTAGTTACTCCCCACTTTCCTTTTCAAGTCTCATATCTTTCTGGGTTGGGTGAGATCTTTCAACACTTGCCCACTTCTCAACGTTACAATATTCACTATTTCTTTGGGATTTCTTTCTGTATCATTCGGGAGCGTTCCTAGGACCCTCTCAGACATTAGAGTAGCTAGTTTCAATGAAAGCCTTCATTAGATCTTCCATGCTAGACTGATTAGACTGTGGAGGCTGATACTGCTGTCTCTGCTGATTTTGAAAACCCGGAGCTCCTTGTCCCTGGGGTCTAGAGTTACTTTGTTGTCATGAGTTCTAGCTATAATTTTGTGAGTTCCACGAAAAGCCTGGGTGTCTCTGTCCCATGTGATTGAAATTATTACCACTCTGGTAGTTGACTATATCAAAACTTCCCACAGAATTTACCACTTCATCTGCAGCTGCGGCCTGACACTCATACGTTGGATGACTAATTCTACAGAAATCACAAACTGGTGATGGTTGACTCTGGATCTTGGCTAAGGTCAGTTTTCTTATCTTTTTGGCCATGGCGTCTAGTTGGGCTTACACCGCTGTATTGGAATCTACTTGATGAACCCCAACTGATTTTCTTCTATAATTGCTCTCAGAAGGCCATTGGTTAGCATCTTTAGAGAGCTCATCAAGTATTGCCACAATCTCCTCAGGAGTCTTCTTCATAAAAGGACCTCCAACTGCAATGTTCAGAGTTCATCGTGAGGGAGGTGTTAGTCTATCCCAAAACTCTTGAAGATGCATCCACAATTCAATCCCATTATGCTGACACTTCCTCACTATCTGGTTGAATCTTTCCTAAGCCTCGAAAACTTTTTCGGTGTCCGTCTGGCAAAAGTTCTGAATTTCCCTTCTGAACTTCACTGTTTTTGCAGCTGAGAAGTATTTGTCAAGAAACTTTCTAGTCATATCTTTCCATGTCCTGATCGACCCTGTTGGTAAGCTACAAAGCCAGTGCTTCACATTATCCTTTAGTGAAAAGGGGAATGCCCTTAAGTAGACTACATCCTTTAATACTCTATTGTATTGGGAATGTGTTCATGACTTTTTCAAAGTCCATCAAGTAAGTGTTAGGATCTTCGTTCACCTTTCCTCTGAAAATGTAGTTATTTTGGATAGTTTGAAGCAAGCTTTGCTTCAACTCGAAGTTATCCATTGCTACTGGTGGAGGGCTGACACTGGACAGTCCATGATTATAGACCGGTCTGGCGTAATCACCCAATGCTCTACCAGGCCTGGGTACCGCATTCTCGAACGGATATTCAATCAAGGGTCGATTCAGATGGAACCTTCGACCCCCATCATCGTTGACGGTCTCATCAGCAGCTCTACGGGTTGCCTCGGCTACTATCCTTGTAGCTTCTTCTCTCGATTGTGCTGCTTTTCTTGCGCCAGATTTGCCTCATCTTCACCGTGATTAGCCATGTGTTCTTGGGTTGAAGGCTGCCCCATGAACTTTCCGGTGAGTTCTTTCTCTTTCCTTAACTTTTGCAGACTCTTTTCTACCTTTGGGTTGTACGAAATCAATTCCTTTCAAAAGATCGAGTCATACACTAAAGGAGTCAATATGTTGCATGTACATGGAAGAGGAAACCCATGAAGAATAAAAAATAAAAATAAAATAAAATAAAATAAATTACTGAATTAGCACAAAAAAATTATTTTGAACACTATTGATTGCCAATCTCCGGCAACGGTGTCAAATTTTGACGAGTGCAAAATACACTTAAATTATGCTTGCTAATCAAAGATATCATAGTATAATATCGTATCCACAAGAATTGGATTTAAACAATATTCTCTTAGCTTCTAGCTTGATTGCTATCCGGGTGGATCAACAGTTGAGATTTATATAATTCATAATTAAAATTAACTAAGAATCTAAAGCTATTGACTAGTGACTATCGAGACAAGGAATAAGCAAATAAGGTTATCAATGGGACAAGGTAGGGTTTTGATAGGATAGGTGCAAGATAATTGTTCGGGATCTAACTCTAGATAGTTCACTTCTAATGTTCAAGTGAGTCTCTCTAATTCACTCACTTATTGGTTCAAATGTTCAACAGAAACTCCTCTCTCTATTAAACCTTAACCTCACGAGACGTACCAAATTAAGCACTGTGAAGATATGCAAGAATGCGTAGTGGATTGGGCTTTAGGAAAACTTATTTCGATTATTCTCCTAACCAGGTTTAATCAATGATTCAACTAACCTCTTTCGAATACTTAGAAGAATCTATGTACTCAACCAACAATATCATGCAAAGATATCACAAGTTATGCCTCTCTCGATTATATGAACTAGTGAATATAGATGCAACAATTAAATCTTCCAAAATAATTCAATACATAAATCTAGAGTTATAATTTACAAATAATCATTAATACACTAAATCCATCAAACCCTAAAGGAAACTACTCCATAGACATGGAGAAATTCATCACAAATATGATTAAAGTATAGAAAAACATAGATTCGGTCCAAACTCGGGTCTTGAGTGAGGAATGAATGATGAAATCCTTGTGCTTGTGTTCTTCCAACTCATCCTTAGCTTCCTTAGGTCGAAAGTATGTCAAAAGTCCTCTCAAAAATGTGTTTCTAGTGTATTGATGCCAAGCAGGAACGAACCCGGATGAAACCATCTCCTTTGAGTTGAAGTGGAAAAACCTACAAACTTTTTACACTTCATGCATCCCACTATGCTACGCAGATTAGCATATTTTGCTCGGTTGTAAACTCTCTGAACTTAGCTTGTCTAACGAATTTTTGTACTAGTGCGACGCTTAATGCCACGCCTTATGCGACACACTAGTACTTTTTTTTTTGCTCTAGCCCTTGCTCTTTCTTTCAACTTTCGTATGCAACGCCTGTCCACGAGCCCCGGATGCGATCCCGTTTTAATTCCTCGGGCTTTTACTCGGATTTAAAAGCTCCAAATTATCCGATTTAGCTCCAAAACATCTTATTAACTCGGCATCATCTCCTACAAAGTATAAAACACACAATCAGTGGAAAACACTACCAATTAAAACTCAAACACAAGTAAAGTATAGTAAATTAGTGTGCAAAATGCGGCTAAAACACGTTTTCCTAGCCTACCATCAATTACCATATACCTATTTTACCTTCTAAATTATCAATGTTTGTCTTCTTTTTATTTTTATTTTAAATAAATTTAATATTATAATTTTTANATTTCACTCTTAGACTATGGGATTCGGAGATATTGTTTTGTGCATCAATTGATACACATACCCATATTAAAACTTCTTTTAAAAAAATCTCATGGCCACACTTGAACTGCTAATTTCGAAATAAGATACGCAAAGGACCTTAAAAGGGCCAAATTCTGGTGATTCCATTCCTTAATAATTTTCTCCAGTAGGCAAATTCTTGAAATTATTATCAGTCAAACACATCCTGTAACATCCTTTAGGATTCCATGGTGCCTACATAATTATCCCTTTCACTCCTGGATGTGTAGTAAACAGCAGACGCATTCTTCCCTAGCATCTGCTCTAAGAACGAGAAGTGGACATTTTCATTCACAACATCCCAATGAATAAGTTGGCCTAAATATCTATTCATCACTGAATTTATCCTTCTTGATGCAGTTGCGGATAACTGTGCTGGTGAAAGATAACGCGCCCACGAGGGCATATTCTGAGGATTATCCCAAAAGACATTGTGGCCGCGGACTTTAATGTTATATTTTTGGACAAGACTAAGCATAGCATCAGCTACGTTGTAGTCTAGTTGGCCGGGGATTTTCTCGTTGGCGTACCATTTCATTTCGTTTTCGAAAACTGTGTACATGAATCTTGAAGTAAACCAATCTTGGTAGGCTTTGTTGTTTAGGATGTGTTGGCTTATTGCATTGCCAAACGGGAAATTGTTCTTTTGTTGTGCTAGGGAGACAGTTGCGTTTGGTAAAGATTGGCCTTGAGAATCCACTGCTTGGATTTTCACTTTAGCTTTGCGTACCAGCGGCATTTTCTAGTGATTTTTTAGAATTTAGCTTCCATAAACTATTTTTTTTAAATACTATCAGAAAAGTTACAAGATAATACAAGCAGCCTATAATAAGATTGTAACATGCTATAAAATGTTAAAATCATTGACAGCATAAAAAAAAATATTATTGTCAATATATATAAATTAAATCCATTTTAAATGAGAATCTCGTGAAATGAAATTAAACATATCGTAAGAACTAGTTAAGTTATTCTCCTTATATTTATATATTGTCACGACCCAAAATCTCACCGGTCGTGATGGCGCCTATCCCAATACTAGACAAGCCGACAATCTCAAATAACTGCAATTTCGTCTAAGGTTGAAAACATAATATTTGATTTCAATAGAAAACCTCACAATTACAGATACAAAACACTCCCAAAACCCGGTGTCACTGAGTACATGAGCATCTAAATGAATACAAAGTCTGACTGATAAAAATATTATCCGAAAATATAGAACAATACAATAACTGAAAGAAAGAGAGTCAAGGTCAGCGGATGTCAGGCAGCTACCTTGATAGTCTCCAATTGATAGCACTCTGAAATCTAGTAGTCGCTGTGTCCGAAAGCACCTGGATCTGCACACGAGGTGCAGAGTATAGTTTGAGTACAACCAACTCAATAAGTAACAAGACTAACCTTTGGGTTGAAAGTAGTGACGAGCTCAGCAGGTGCAGTCCAGAATAGAAATAACAGTACAGAAATGTAGATATGTTTCAATTTCAACAATTAGCTCCGTACAAGTAAAATAGATCAATACTGAATGATATGAGGAATATGACATCTCAAGAGGAAAACCTCATGTACTCACGATCATAAATTACTTGGTCACTCAGTATTGTATAAGGCCAATCCAGGCCAGGGAAGTTCCATCCCGTATATATATACCTCAACTGACAGTCAGTGAATCAGTACCGTATAAGGACAAATCCAGCCCAGGGGTAAATTTATCCCCAAATTATAATAATTCGGACAAGATCCATGTCGAGTAAAATTCATCACAAATATAAATAAGTAAGGCAAGTCCATGCCCTGGGAAGTCCATCCCGAATATATAATCATCTACACTCAAAATATAAATAAGTAAGAAAATTCCATGCCCTAGGAAATCAATCCTGAATATATAGTCATCTACACTCATTGTGTGGGGTGCAGACTCCGGAGGGGCTCCTTCAGCCCAAGCGTGATATAAAGCTGATGTGGTCTGCTGCAGGAGGGCAGCCCCGATTCATATATTAATAAAGCCAATAAGGCATGCTGCTGCGTGCAGCCCCAATCTAGAACAATAAAGCCTATAAGGCCTGCTGCGACATGCAACACGATCCCATAATAATAATATATATATA